AGAAATGTACTGTGTTTTAAAATTTCAGTTTGAAGCACATATAGGGCAGGTGGAACAGCATGGGCAAAAGTGTAGCAGTAGAAATAATAAAATAATAATAATAATAATAATAGATAAAAGCATGGCATATGTAGGGAATAGTGAGTTGTTTTGTGTAGCTGGAGGTTAAGTCTGTCAAACTGCCTGATGTCGAATACTTTGATAGACTAGTTTGAGTCAGAAAAACTTGAGTGACTTTTGAGCAGTATAAGTTTACAAAATAAATGTGTTTTATGTTATACTCTGTAGGGCCAAGGCAATGAGAACAGGAGACAAAATACTGCATAGAATAAAACTGTCACTCTCACCATGACTCATCTGTTAACTTACGAAAACACACACGAAGAAATGCAAGAAAATTGCTCATTTCACATGCTTGTGGGTAGATTGAACCTAATTTTGTAGCATTAAAACCAATTTCCCACTGAGAAAACATGTCAGAGAGGATAGCATGAATCTTTATCATTATTAATAATATTTGATATTTCAATGTCACCTTTCATCCTGAGATCAGTCCTGTACACATGAGAACAGATAAGCTCCAAGGAAACAGAGATAATATTAATACAGTAAGTCACATGCATTTCTATCTTCCATATTGCAAGGGCTTTCCGGCTGTGTTTGTATCACATTTAGAAGTTAGTAGATACATTTGTAAAGCAGTAATTTTTTGTTTATTCCTTCTACAAGAATTCATAGGGTAGATAGAGTAAGGGCCACATCCTTCCACGCAGAGTTCTCTTTGGAAGATGTTGACATTTCCATTCTCCATTCTTTGGCTTCTTTGACTGATGCTCTCCATTCTGAGTAGAGGACACACCAGCGGGGATCTTCATGGATCCTTCACCTTCTTCAAAAGAGTAGCAGTCATGATGATGATCATGATCATGATCATCACAACAATAACTACTATTACTGTTTCTTATAAAGCACTCATTTCATGTGTACATCATTCTATTATTCTAAGAACTTTATATATACATCACATTAAATAATTTCATACCAACTGTCCAGCAGAACTTTTCTGTGATGATGAAGATATTCTGTGTCTGGGTTGTCCAATATGGTAGCCATTAGCCACATGCAGCTACTGAGCCCTTGAAATGTGGTTAGTGGGGCGCCTGGGTGGCTCGGTCGGTTGGTTGGGCGTCCGACTTTGGCTCGGGTCGTGATCTCGCGGTTTGTGGGTTCGAGCACCATGTCGGGCTCTGAGCTGACGGCTCAGAGCCTGGAGCCTGCCTCCAATTCTGGGTCTCCCTCTCTCTGCTCCTCCCCTGCTTGCTCTCTGTCTCTCAAAATGAAGACATAAAACTAAAAAAAAAAAAAAAAAAAAAAAAGAAAGAAAGAAAAAAGAAGAAATGTGGCTAGTGCTACCAAGAAACTCCATTTTTCTTTCATTTAATTTTAATTATTTTTTATTGAAATAATCATATGGCTAGTAGCTATTGTATTAGACAACAGACTTACAGTGGGTGGTGATTTATTTTTTAAAGAAAATAAAGTTCTATTTTCATCATCACTAAGAACTTAATGAGGACTAGTTTGAGTGAATGGATCCAAATATTCTTGAAGCTATAAATATTTTTAAAGAAGTTCCATATTTTGCATTTGGAGAATTTTTATTCCACCCTTACCCCATCCTGTTAAAATTTTATTTAAAACGTATCTGTGAACAGTAGGGCAACATAGAATCATTTCTAAACAAGAGCACTTACAAAAGATGCAGGTGATGTCTTCAAATGAAACCTCATTGTCATCCAGTCATCCCATGTGGTCAGCAATGATGCGTACTAGCCTATCCATTGAGAATTGGAATTCTAATTACTGATTTCCCAAAGGGAAATATTCACCTCCACTTATAAAATGGAATGGGGAAAGAGGGTTTTATGTTTTAGGTGTCATGGATAAACATAGTCTTAATTCATTTTGGGCCCTCCCCTTACCAAAACTTACCTCCCTGGGATTTCTCTGGGTTGCATGTGAAAATATAAGAATAAACTTAACGAAGAAATTGATTAGAAGACTTAATTACATTTCCGCTTAGCCGGCCAGTAACTTAAGACTGTTATCACTGTTACACAAAGAGAACTAAGTAGCCCTTGGTTTGAACCATCTGTCACGAAAATGTGACATATGTTTGCGTTGTTTACTCAACAACCAAGTGTAAACTGATACACTGAAAAAGAAATCCGTGTATGGAATGACTCTGTGTGTGTGTGTGTGTGTGTGTGTGTGTGTGTGAGAGAGAGAGAGAGAGAGAGAGAGAGAGAGAATGAGAGCGAGCTCATGTGTTGAGCGTCAGTCCTCTCCTACCTGTCCCTAAGGAACACGTGCATTGGCGTGAGGATTGGTGGGGTGTCCCCTGGGTATGGGGCGCGCATTGAGGCGCAGACCAAACAATACGCACGCAGCACGCACTTGAGCCACCGCAGCTGAGGGGCGTGCCTGGCTGTTTGTGGATCTGAATGGAAAGCTACCCTCCTCTTTCCTCCTTATCTCCCCGCCCTTACACCCTAGCCTCAAACTTCACCCAAAGCCCGTGCCCTTTTCAATTAACCTCCCTTGATCAAGATGAGCGTTTCTTTTCTCTCCTCCGAGGCCCATTATGTGGTGCGACGGGTTTGGAGGTTTGACAGCTGAGCTCACCCAGACTCAATTCAAACTCGGTTTCCGTCAATGATGAACTTGGATATCAGCAAAGATCCCGAACACAAGCCCTGAGCGGCGGGACTGCCATCCACCACGGCGGTCTGTTCCATAGACCCTTCTCTCCACCCAGTGTAGACTTCAGTGCTCCGGGCACCCCCCGGTGCACCGGGAAGAGTGTGTGTCGTGGTGGGGATGGGGGTGGCTGGGTGGGTCAGCAGTATAGCAGACATTGAGTGCTCCCAGAAATTGGTGTGAGAGCCTGTGTATGTGTTGGGTTTTTAATTTATGATTTTTAAATTTACTCTTGAAACAGCCAAGATGGAGGTCAGCTTATAAATTTCCCCAAGTCGAGTCTGACGCGGTTTAAAGGCAGTGGCGGGGGGTTCCGCTTTTGTCTCCTTGCCGGAGCTCCAGGAGAGCGATGGAGACTGCGTGTGCATGTGTGAGTGCGTGCGCGCTGGCGTGGACCGGCGCGTGGGCATATCCTGCGATCTCGGCTCCGAGGGTCTGGGTCTGAGTGTGTCTTGAACGCGCCAAGTCTTGAGTCATAGCCACGAGTGACGTGGGGGAAAAACTTTGTGTTCGGAAGAAGGGTCTGATTCGATTGCGCTAGGACGGAAGAAAGAGTCCTTGTGCTTTGTGGCGCACCCCCCCCCTTTGTCCCTGAGAGAGAGACTGGGAGAGAGAGGCAGAGAGAGAGACAGAGACAGAGAAAGAGAGACAGAGAGTCCGGCAGCACTCGCGGCCCGCTGCATAGCGCTGTGCGTCCTGTGCGCGCGTGCTGGGTCCGGCGCCGGATCCCGGATCCCGCCGCGACTAGCCTGTTCATCCGGGGCGTGCCAGCCGGCGAGCTTCAGAGGGGCTGGCGAGCGTGCTATGGGGCGGCGGGAGCAGGGGCAGTCGGAGGGTCCTCAGGCAAAGAAATCTGGCCTCGGAACCCGCTAGCCTCCGCACAGCTTCCAATATCCCTAACGGGCATCCGAGAGCCGGAGCTCTGCTCGGAAATCGTCCTGGCCCAACTCAGTCCTTTGAGCTCTCGAAGATTACCGCATCTTCTTCCTAGCGCAGAGAAGTGAGCTCGGAAAGGGAAGGAAGGGGCGGGGAAACCCCCCAAAATAAATAAATAAACAAACTGGCTCTTCGACACAGCTGGACACGGTCGATTGAGTCCAGGTTGGTGGCATTTGGAGAGAGTTTTCTCGATCTGTGGGTTTGGGAGCGCATCGCCGCCTCCCCTCCCCACTTTTCCGCTTCTGCAGGCGCCCCTCAACTTTGGGGTCTGGGGGCGCTCTCGATTCCGGGCTGCACCTGCCCTGGCGCTCCAGGGCTGCGGGTCGTTGCGCTCGCCCCGGGCGGTGGCGTTGATGAGCCCGAGTCCCGGGCTCTGGGCGAGTGTGTGCACGGCGCCGACACCCGGGTGGGAGCGGGCCCACGGCGGGTAGGGGCGCGCGAGCCGGGTTTCGGCCCCAGCCGGGACGTCGATTCCCCCATCGCCCCGCTGCCTCAGAAAGGAGGCGAGCCCAGGGAGGAGGGGGAGACGGCGACCAGGGACAGCGATTGGTGGTTTGGGTGAAGAGGGCCGGCAGCGGAGCAAGCAAGCTGGCTGGAGGAGGGGGCGGCGAACTTCCAAGGAGAAGGGGCTCTTCCTGCGCCAGGGCTGGAGAAAGAGCTGCCGCCGCCGTGTGCTTCGACTCCAGGCAGCTGCTGGCTCCGCTCGCAGCGCTCGGAAAGTAACGTTATTTATTTATATATATATATATATATATATTTATTTATTTGCTTGCGTTCAGCCTCTTGGGTTGGATCCGATAGACACCCCTTGGACTTTGGGAGCCCGCGTCCGACCTCTCCATCCCCCACCCTGCCCTTGCGGGCGGCTCCCCGCAATACACGTACATGCCCTCCCCCTGCGCCCCGTTCCTGCGCCCCGACCGGGTTAGGGGTGGGCCCTCACCCGGGCGCTGAAAGTCCCCCAAGGCGGGAGCAGGGGAGGGCAGAGAGGCGGGGGGAGGCTCTAGCGCTCTCGGCTCTCATTTCAAAGCGCGCTCTCCCTTCCAGGTTGGGTCAGACCTGAACCCCTAAAAGCGGAACCGCCTCCCACCCTCGCGCTAGCCGCCCGCCGGGAGCTGAGTCGCCGGCGGCGGTGGCGGCGGACGGACCCGGGAGTTTCCTCCCGCACTGGATGGAGCTGAACTTTGGGCGGCCGGAGCAGCGCGGCCGTCCGGACATCGGTGTATGCTGAGCTTCCCCGGCGAGACCCAGCGGCGGCTCGGGATTTTTGGGGGGGCGGGGACCAGCTGCGCGCCGGCACCATGTTCCTGGCGACCTTGTACTTCGCGCTGCCGCTCCTGGGTAAGTCGAGGCCGCCGCTACCTTTCTTACTGCCGAGTCTTTCCGAGGGGGTACTCGCGGTAGCCCCTCCAAATTTCAGTGCGGTGGCGCTGGGTGTGGGAGGGCGAAGTTTCGTTTTGAGGAAGGGGATCCTGAGTCCGCAGCACCCCGGGCTTCGGAGGCGGTGATGGCGCGGCACTTGCCCGCAGCTTTTTGTGCTTGGCTTTTAATTTCCGTGCCTTTTTAAAATGCCCTATCCTGGCGGAGAGTTGCGGGGTCCGAGCCCTCCAGCTCCGGGACCAGCGCTCGCAGCGAGTCCCGGGAGCTCGCGGAGGCGCAGCGGGCAGGTGGGGCGTGGGCGAGCCTTGGGCTGGGAGAGCAAACTTCGAAGGGAAAACTTTTTCCCGAATAGAGTCTGAGCGCTCCCCGGCCGGCCGGCCTCGGACCGGGGCCCTCCGGTTCGGAAAGCCCCGGGCTTCGGGCGGGCGGGGCCGCGCGCGCGGCTCCCGGAGGCCAAGCAGCTCCTCCCGCCGGGCTCTGCACCCGAGCGGCGGGGCGGGCACGCGCGGCGGGCAGCGCGCGCTCCGGGGCAAACCGCAAAGAGCCCGCAAAGCCTCGCCGGCTGGGGGGTCGGCCTAGGGAGGGCGCGCCAGGGAGGCAGGAGGTACCAGCGCGGGAAAATGACTCCCCGGCGTAGAGGGGCGGGCCCGTTGGCCCCGCGGGGCACCCCAGAAGCCCGCTGTAGCGCGCGCCCTCCCCGCAGCCTGAGGCTTTGGGTCCCTGCCCCGCCGCCCTCACGCTCCCTCCCCCCCGCACCCATAGACGTGCTCCTGTCGGCCGAGGTGAGCGGCGGGGACCGCCTGGACTGTGTGAAAGCCAGCGACCAGTGCCTGAAAGAGCAGAGCTGCAGCACCAAGTACCGCACGCTGAGGCAGTGCGTGGCGGGCAAGGAGACCAACTTCAGCCTGACGTCCGGCCTGGAGGCCAAGAACGAGTGCCGCAGTGCCATGGAGGCCCTCAAGCAGAAGTCTCTCTACAACTGCCGCTGCAAGCGGGGTATGAAGAAGGAGAAGAACTGCCTGCGCATCTACTGGAGCATGTACCAGAGCCTGCAGGGTACGCGCCCACGGTCCTCGCCCCCCACCCCCACCCCTCCCCCCTCGGAGGCAGGCGGGCCCCTAGGCCCGCTCCCGCTGACCTCATCCTCGACTCGCTTCTCCCCAGCTGCAGAATGAGGACCTTTCATTGGCCCCCAGGGACAGCGGCAGCTGGTGTTTGCTGCCTCCAAGCAGCATTGTTGGGGCCTGGTTGTTGGAAAACCCACGAGGGGGTGGGGGACATCCCGGGCCCCCGCTGACCTCTCGGAAACCTGGTCAGAGCATCCGCGCAGGAGCTTGTTAAGGGACTTGGCAGGAACTCCCAACTTCTCTCCAAAGAGAGCTGGCTTCAGAGAATAATAATACAAAGACTTGCCCTGAATCGTGTCCGGACTTTTCTGCCCTTTCTTCTTCCTTTCTCTCTGTTCCGACACAAGGTAAAGAATTGAGAATAAAAGGCCCCCGTAGAATCCATTCTATCTTAACCCCCTGCAAAACCCCCTGCAAAACCCCAGGGCAGATGTGTGAAGCGCCGCTTATCATCTTAGATCCGCTGAGTCTCGACCCAGCTGGTGTGGTTCAGACCTCGGTTACAACACAGAAGTGGTTTGAGAGAAAAAGGACCACTTGTCACAACCATCCAGTCCAGTGGGAATTTGGGGGTCCTTGTGTGCCAGAGGTGTCTGAAGTTTGTAAATCTAACACAGACGTTCAGTGCATTCATTCTCCACTGAGACTCACACCAAGAATTTGGAACATACAGATTTGACCTCTCAGCCGCCACTTCCTCCAGAACCTATTGATGCAAACCTATTTCAGAGACTGTTGAGTAGCCAGCATACGGGGCTTTTTGAGCACATGCCATGTTTAAAAGCAAAGAAATGGGGGCCTCTTTTGGGTCACCCTTCTTCCATTGGCTCCTGGAGGCACACTGGGGTGGTGACATCACTGGTTTCTTCCTCTCTTATTTCATTCCTTTGCAAAGAGTGGGAGAGTTTTCTGGCAAGATCAGGCTGCGTTGCTCTTCAGTGTTTTCATGGCACTCTGGGGAGGGCCAGGACAACAAAGGCAGAGGGAATGAAAAATATCCACAGCCAAGTAGATGCCTTTGAGATCTTTGAAAGTTTCAGCATCTTTTTGTTACGCAGTCATAGCATAATTAGAATTTAGTTTCAGTAACAACAACTCTCTGAAATATGCCTGTTTTCCAGATCTAAGCCCTGTCATTCTGTTTTTAGGAAATGATCTGCTTGAAGATTCCCCTTATGAACCAGTTAACAGCAGATTGTCCGATATATTCCGGGTGGTCCCATTCATACCAGGTAAGCAGATTCGTGCTTCCACTCTGATGCCTTTGCCTGCTGGAAGTCCATTGGCTTGCATTCACTTTGGCTCTCAGATGGTGTGTAAGTAGATAGTGGAATGGCACAGTGTTTCTGGGAAATTAGAAATAGAATGATGATAATGAAGAGGCAAAATGCCTAGAGATGATTGTATGACTTGAAAGTAATTCTAAATGAAGTAATGTGGTGTGGTGATTTGAAAGAGGTTGGAGGGAGGTGATTTGGTTGAATTTTTTTTCACAGTGAAATATGATTGGCTGGCTCTTGCATAGGGAGTGCTACTTCCGTCTGTAGGTGGCAATCATATTCCCTTCTTGCTACATACCATTCACAGTGCCTCCCAGCAAAGGGATCACTTTAAATGATGCCACTTGCTTTTCGAGACTTCTGAAGATAATCTTAGATTGTTGAAGAATTTCGGACCGACTCACTGGTCTGCCTTTGATTTAAAAGATTAAACTCTACCATTTGTTAACAATTCTATTTTTAATTTTCCCTGAGCAAGTGTGGGCACGTATAAAAGAATGCATTACTACCCTAGTGGCCTTTTGAAAAGTGGTCTCGCTTCCCGGGATTTGTTTTGTCTCCTTTTGCAGCTCTACATTTGTTTTGGAAGTGAACTTACTTTTAGAATTAAGTTTGGCATAACATTGGCATTCAGACAGCCCCGTAAATAATGAGCAAGGTAGTGATTTCTCTTAATGACATACAGATTCCAGACTGATGTTGTCTTTCATTGTTTACAGTCAAGACATTTTCTCAAGTGTATACAGCCATCACAGAGTGTATGTTTTCCTGGTGGTTATACGTGGTGGTTAATGTTGAATTCTAGGAGATGGTGGTTTGTTACTGGGGAGAGTGCTCTGGTTTCTAACGTTTCTCAACGTTCTCTGTTTTCCTGCAGAAAGCCATAGAAAGCCAAGTATGTAAATACTGATATTATGTGTGGGTGTATTATACATATATTCATTCATTCACAAACGTCTATTGAGCACCTACTATGTTTTAGTTGTTGGGATTTTGGCAGTGAGCCAGACAGATGTCACCCCCCTGCCCTCATGAATCTTAGAGACAGCCAGCAACTGGCATTTATTAAGCCCCTCTTATATTCTAGGCACTGTGTTAAGAGCTTTCCATCATGAACTTAGGTAACAGCCTTCACAGGCATGTTAGGTATTATTTCCACTTTAGGAGTGAAATTAGGAAACCAGCCCAAGACCACAAAGCTCATGGTTAGTAAAACCAGAATTTATACTCAGCTGTGTCTGATTCTAGGCTTTGGTAATATCTGCCCCTTGCTGCTCAGGGTCTTTTACATGGTTTTGTGACCAGTGGCATGGACATCATGTGGGAGTTGGTTAAAAGTCTGGGGTGCCAGGTTTTATCCCAGACCTACTGAATCAGATTTACACTTTCAGAAAATCTCTGTGCTGGGTGCTTCATATATGCATAACGCTTGAGAAGCATTCCTCTACATTATTCTGTTTGGGGTTTTTTTTTTTTTTTTTGATTCAGAGAAAAAGTATGTGTGTGTGGCGGAGGGGGGGGTGGTGCACGGTGCACACACATGCACATTTTGGGATAAGATGTAAGGGTATAGGTTTAGCACCAGAGGCATTCATATATTATCCAAATAATGCCAGTAATTTCCACTCCAAATCCCTCCTAATGCTCTCTGTCCCCTTGGCCTTGCTAAAGCAGTGTCTCAGGCACTGGAAGAAAGACCCACAGATGCATCTGGGCTCTCATGGGAGCAAGTCTGTACGAGCTGGGGTGGGATGTGGCACGTGGCGTAGCAGGGGCGAAGCTGGCCTTCCTAGTGCTTTGAGGAACAGTGCCTCCTGCCTGCATCTGCCCCGTGGAAGCCTTACTCCTTAGTCTTTGTACGGATGCTTGGAGGCATATGAACCCCCCTGGGGACAGTAGGAGTGAGGAGGTGGGCAAGGAGGGAGGTTCATTGAGGTTTTAATCTCAGAACTGCTATGGACTGTAGGACTTCAGCAAACTCATTTTCCCTCTTGGGGTCTCTCTTTGCTTGGTATATTGAGACCACTGGAGTAAATAAGCTCATGATTCTCGTGGAAGATTGAAGTTACCTCCAGAACCCATCCACTGTGCTCTTCAATGGTGTTTTCAATCCTTCATTCATTCTACACTTAAAATGACTTGGTCATTCTCAGATACCACTGGTTTGTCTGAATTTCTTTTATGAATTTCTGGAATTCTTCTGCATGGACCAAGTTTTACTTATTCATTTTCTTGGATCCCTTTCTTAGCCAGGTTTCTTTTCATAGCAGATATGAGTCTGAGCTTGTGAGACCTGTCCTGCTGAGAAGCCAGGAGTCATAATAAATTAATCAGAGCCAGGAAGGCCTTGTCAGGAGCTAGGTTTTATATCTCAAGGGCATTGAATTTAGGTTCCAGCGCTAATGAGCTTTGACCTCTGACAGTGACCGTGTCCCCTGAGTGGGCATAGGGAAGCCAAATGGAACCTTGAGAGGCTTTAAGTCGTTGAATAATGCATATTATCCAGTTTGGCATTTGTAGGATAGAGAAGACAGAAGAGCAGGATGATGAATGTTGCTTTCATGGTTTGAATCTGAGTTTCTAGAACATCTCTTCTGTCTTGAAAATCTCTCCAATGAAACCAGGACAACAGGGCCTCTGCCTTTTACAGATATGGTAGCAATCAGAGTTTCCATATTTGGGTCTCTTTGCCCAATGTGAAGAGAATGTTTATCCACGTACATTAAGTGTGAGCTGAATTGTCTCACTGAATAAGACATGTTTGACGTTCTTGTGTTTCCATCTTCTTTGGACTCCTCAAACGCACAGCCACCTTTACCATTGTTTACTTGATCACCAGTTAAAAGGCCACGTTGATGTGCGATCAGTGGCCTGGCAGGAACGAGGAAGGGAAGAAAACAAGGTAGAGTCTAAAACCTGTCGTCTCTGGTCTGAAGCCTGCGCTGTAGGAGAGAAATCAGATAGCCTAGTCTGGTGAGAACTGGGGAATTGCAGTGGGAAGTTGGAGGGACAGCCCCTGTGGAAATGTGTTGGTGGATACCTTTGGCCTTGAAAGGAGGTACCTTTGTTGTAGGTTGATGCCAGTGTGGTTTTTAGAGGGACGGACCAGACGGTGCGTGGGAGTGCACAAAGGAAAGGGGGCCAGTGCCACAGCATGTTGGAGGAGAGGAGAAGTGTCTCAAGAGCAAAGAAGGCAGAGCCATGTGGGCACGTGGAGGCCCAGAAGACAGAGCTACTATGTATGTTTCACATCTGTCACAGCTCTCTGCTAGTTAACCTCGCATTTTCTTCCTCGTGAAAGTTCTAGAAGCAGCAAAAAGTAAATAGTGATTTGAAAGGGAAGTGAACCTGTTGGCCATGCTTTTGGACTCTCTGAATGGGGAGAGCAAAGTAACAAGAAAGTTTGAAGGTGCGGTGAGTGCCAACAAAAGCCTGAGGATGGAGGGTCAGAGGAGACTGTAAGTGCCTCTATGGCAGCAAGAGAAAAACAAGGCTTCAGGGTCTAAAAGTATTGATTGGGAGGTTGGGTTTTGTAGAGAAGAGTCAAGAGACGCCAGGCGTTTCTCAAATATAACCAAAGCTATGGTGTTGCAGACAAGAGACAAGATAGATGTGGGGAAAGAGCGATACTAGGATTTGGACATGCTGACTCTGCTTTGGGGAAAGACAAAGGTCTAGCTCTCTGGCTCTGTCATCATTTCCTGCCAGGTCCCAGGAGTGGCTTAGACTTTCTCAGGAAGCCTTAGGATTTTGACATTGGTTCCCACATGCTTGGACATCTATTGCTTCAGGAGGAGATGCCCCTAAACACTCTTTTGAGTATGGCTCCTTTTTTTCTGAATGCTGCTATGCATAATTAGCCATGTTTAGCATTTCTGTTTTAATGTGCCATCATATTTATGTCAGTATGAAAAAAAAAAGCTTTCTGAAAACTTTTACATGTTGAAGAAGAATCTTATGAGGTGCTGTGCTATCTTGTGAAATCAGGACAAGAGAGAGGTGTTTGTAAATGCCAACTCCTGAGGTGTTTGGTGGCCCTTTGCTTGCCACTCAGCTCTCCAAAACAACTCCAGTCACATCTTGCCAATAGTTTAGAACCCCCCACTGTTCCTTGTTGCCTGTTCTGGCATCTGGCAAATTCCTTAGCAGGCCAGCTTGTGCCTGCCCTCCTTCTTCAAACCCCATCACCTCCTCTCCACTCAAGCACACCGAGCAGTCCGTGCCCCCAGTATTTTATGTGCATTCACCGTTTTGTGCCTTTGCACACGCTCTTGCCTCTGTTAGTACCTCGACACATAGATCCAGTTTCATCTCTGAGGGCCATACTGGAATTCCCCTAGATAGGCACTTCCTCTCAGGACTCTTTTGTGCTGCGTTTTGCTCTTGCCCTTTATGATAGCTGTTTGTCACAGTGTATGGAGTGGACTTATGTATGTGTCTGTCTTTCCCACTGGAAAGTTGTTTTGTTTGTTATGCCCAGTGTCCGCTCAGCATGGAGCATTCTTCCTGGTTCTGAGTAGCCATCTTGTTAACCGAGGGTGTTTGACTATCAGAGAAGGGCCTCAGAGATCTAGTCTGACTTTCTGCTTTTACAGAATTGAAGCTCACAGAGGGGAAGTGGTTTGATCAGGGCCACACTGCTTGAGAGTGGCCACTAGGATCTTTGTCAGGACCTGGCAATGCCTTAGGGGAGGCCAGCGTTGTCCTCTTTCTGTTCTGCATGCTTTCTGGACAAACCACATCCATTCCTGGGATGGAAGCTACCATTTATACTGATGACTCAGAGCCTTCCCTCCAACTCCAGCCTCTTCAGGGCTCTCAACCAGCATTTCCAACTGAGTCCTGGACAACTCCATCTGGATGTATCTCAGTTACTTCAAACCCAGCGTATCCAAGATGGATCTCACCATCTCCTCTTTTCTCCTTACACCCTTCTCTTTCTGACCCTCTAA